ACTGGATGACTGTTGTGTTTCGCCCATGAATTAAAGCACAAATAGGAAGACAAATTCAAAATAAAGTCAACGTTGGCCACAGAAACTCAGTCCCCCAAAAGCCAAACTAAACACTGCTACAGATCCCCCAAAGGGCCAATTGCTGTTAGATTTCCATAGCTTTACCTGGCAAGTGGTTTGACAACATAAACCAAGCGGTTACTCTTTGACGGGCACGATCCCCTGCACATTGAGTGATAATATTTCACACTGTGTACTGTCGACCACCCCGCTGTTTACTCCAACGGAACAGTCCGACCCAGCACTTCTCTTTTCAAATCCCTCCGTCTTCTCCCTGGGAGATTTCCTTTTCTTTTTCCATTCCTGCGAGCTCTCAGATGATGTCATGCTCACAAGAGTTTCCATTGCTCCAAACAATCCTGCTAACCTCAGCGCTGCTTCTTGCTACCACACATTCCTGCTTCAGAACAAAAGGCAGCTGACCCATCACCTGAGATTTGGCGGGTGGAAACAACGCTCTCCGATAACGCCGACCTCTCACCTTCTGCCGTCTTATCTGCCGGCTCGTGGCTGCGATAGCGGGAACGGGGGGGTGGGATCTGCAATTTTTGCAGACAAATCAGGCGATGTGTCGCAGATAAAGCCGCTTTGAGCCTTTGTGTTTGACATGAACTTCATAATATTGTTCTGACCTCTTCTTTTGGCCGTGGAGCATCTGAACCTTTCGCAGAAAAGAGCTCTTTTCAGGTTGGAAAACATTATCAGAGCACAGAGAAGAAACGATGGAAAATCTAACGAGGTGTGAAAACAATTATGTTTTTTCATATATATTTTGGATTGAACTGCATTACGCAGATTTAGATTTGCTTCTCAAGTGTCAAACTTGCATGAGCCAATGTACCACTTCTTATAAGGACAGATCCCAGTCATATTGTAAAATAAAAGCAAAATAGACAATGTTCTCAGGCTTTATATTATTCTATTTCTGTGATTTTTGCTTTATTTCATTACTACAAAAAAGGACATGAAGACTTTGAAAAAACAAAAGGATAGCATGGACCTCTCTCTCTCTCTCTCTCTCTCTCTCTCTCTACCAGAGACAGGTGTATTTTTATGAGCTCTCCTCTTAAATGACTGACTTCACCAGCAGTTTGTGGCCGTTTTGAGAGAAGAGCTGCTTAATTATTCTGGGACATACAGCGTCTAAGTTCTGCTGTTTCCCTGTTGCCTTCAGGCTAACCAGGGCCCTCCACACTAACACAACCACGTGTTACGTCATTACAGTCCAAACTGCAGAAGAAACACACAGACACAGACACACACACACACACACACACGCAGACATTATAATGCGATCAGGTGCGTCAGCCCTGCAATAAAATCTGTTTCTAAAGTGAAATTGTTGTTGACACACTGACTCAGAAAGGTGCTGATTTAAATAATCGCTGAGACAATAGTTTCTATTATTTTGCAGACCCCACACACATACAGGTTAAAGTCTAAGTGGGCTTATAAAATCCATCTTGTCTAGAGCTGAAACGATTAATGATTAATTGATTACAGACAAAAAATAAATAACTATGTTGAAGGGCTGATTTTTTGCTATTATAATATATATATTTTAATAATATTAACAGTATCATAAGTAATAATAATGGTATAAAGTATACATTCTTGTAGTGGTTCACACAGCCTAAGCACACACCATAAATTAGTAAACTTAAGTATGAAGTATGAATAGGCCAAGCAGATATTAGCATATCACACATGTATATGATAATGTCATATTTTAGCCAATAAGTAAAAATTTTACAGTTAAAAAAAAAACAGTTTTCGAAATGACAGGACTCAGTTTGTATCTTGTTCACAATTTCAGAGATCACTGTCACAAAAGTCTGTTTATCTTGTGTTGAAAAAGGAAAACTGGCTTTCAGATGTTCTTACTCTCAACTATGTGCATTCGATTCTTCAGGACGGCACAAGCAGAAGTTGGTAGAGGGGTTGCAACAACTTCCTCTATACACACACACACACACACACACACACACACACACACACACAGAGACAACGCTTCTTGCACAGACAGCTATAACCTCATACAACCCACCCCCCGCTCATTGTCTCTCACCCACACCCACACACACACACACACACACACATGGTTACCAGCCTCGTCTCGCCTGAAACCAGCGAGGTCTTCATGTGAGCCGCACAGACGGGGGTTTTGGGCTGGGAGTGAGAGGCAGCCCTGGTTTACAGGTCAAGCCAGCAGCTTTACAAGGGAAATCTCCAGAGCCACTATAAATACCACTGTGAGCTTTAAGGGTGCAGTATATCACACCACTGGGTTTGAAGGACCACAAACCAACCCAGTTTTTTTGTTTTTTGTAAACCCCCCCTTTTCCCAACTGTACAGTCGCATGAGCCTGAATACAATTAAATGTGAATTTCCCTTCCTACTATTCAAGTGACTGTTAATTGATTGGCCCGACTTCAAAACATGCCCCCCCCCCCCCCCCCCTCTGCAACAAAGAGCTGGCCGTCCACCTCGCGCGTCAGACCCATATATCATTAGAAGTACCTTTAAAACGCTTGGGGGTGGTTTCACTTTCTTCCCCCCCCTTTTGCTGTAGTTCTGAGCAAACGGCACAAATATGACAAGAACCAATTCAAGTAAGTTGTGAGGATTTTCAACGAGCCCCACCTGCAAGCGAGACATTTGCTCAGCTCAAACTGATGTACTGCGACTCGAAATGAGGCCTAATGGTTCGCTCAAGGAGACGGCTGCATAAAACGTACTGCGTTGTCAAAGTGACACGGCCGTGCAGCACGCGCAGCTTAAATCAAGCGGACATGCACATCGCTCGAGACAAATCTCGATTCATTCAGTTTTACTCCGCTGTGTGACGAGAAAGAGAAAAGGTGGCAAAGCCTCGAGTTGTCTTTCGAACACCTGAGCAGCACAGATGTGGAGTCGGAGGACAATAAAAAGCAGCGATTCGGCGCTCTCGTGCAAATCCCACCGGCCAGCTCTACTTAGCGACAGACGGCACTAATTGGTTCCAGAAGCGTTCGCTCTCGTTCGCACTGGCTGGGATGGCAAGCAGCGAGGGCGGGCAGAAAGAGGGAGAGAAAAAATAAAGGGAGGGAGGGAGGGAGAGCAAGTAATGAGAGGTCAGCCGCCATCTACAGTCGGGCTGCCAGAGCCAGAAAGACACGCCAATTTTATAGTCAATTGGGCGACGCATCTGGACTCATAGATCACAGGCCTGCAGGGCTGGACTTAGCACCCACATTTCACACACACACACACACACACACACACACACACACACACACACACAC